AGTCTACCCAGGGGTCAGCAAACTTGTGAGAAGGAAGAACCAATGCTGTTCCTCATAACAATTTAAAAATTATTCTCGAGCCATGAATAGAGTTTTGCAAACAATTGAAATCCCCATTATCTGAATAAAAGCCTTAAAACTCTTTAAAGCTGCTTGAGAGCTGCCTATGGCTCAGGAGCTGTGGTTTGCTGTCCCCTGGACCTACCCATCCCCTAGAATATCAGCAATGGACTGTGCTGACCCTGGGCCAACTCCTCCAGGTACTCAGCGGCCGTCTGAAATGTCTGTCTGGTCTTTCATTGGACAGGTCTATGGGTGTGAATGAATTACAAAGGCACCTTCCACACTAAGAAATGCGAAGCCTGTTTGTGGCAACACAAGGGAAACATAGCACAGACGGCTAGAGTAAGACAAGATCAGTACCAGTCGCTGTTGCCTTCTATGCTGGACCATGGAGCTAGTGAGGAGATGGGAAAGATCCATAATAAGGTGGACTAAGGAGCTGCAGAACGACTTTGAACTCATGCTCCTCGGCTCTGACTTAAGCAACTCTGCCTTTTCTGTTTTGTTTATTAGATAGAGTTCACTGAAAGATTTTATTCAAAATAGCTCAACTGCTAAAAAAAAAAGTGCATAACAAGGCCAGCCTACAGGTTTATGTGAATGGGAGTGTAATGAGGTGCAAAAGGACAGCAGCGATTACACATTTTGAAGAATGTAATTCCATGTTACTGACTTGCACATGTAGCAATCCTTCAATTGGTATATGTTCTACTGTATGTCTTTTCACCAAGTAGTAATAATAATAAACAAAATTCAAAAACCTAACCTATAGAACTAAGTTCTGACTTCTTAGCATGACATGCCCTTCCTTCCACTTCCTGGTTACAATTGCCCAGACCCACCTTATTTGGGGCCACTCAGCCCGGGGGAACAGCGTGGTTGCTTGTTTGACTCAAGGCAGGCATCAGCAGACCGCTCTCCCCCCAACACCCCTGCCTGCCCCCACCGATACCATGCTGATAACTTACCGCTGGGGTTTTGCCTTTCCTTTTACCCTCTTCAGAAGGCCCCTGTCCACCTTCTTCTCTGCAAATCCTCTCACGGTGAACCTCTTCTTCTCCGTTCAGACCCTCGGTGGTCTGTCCCTTCCCTCGGTGCTCCTTAGGCACGTTGCTCACAGTCTTTGGAAGCTGCACTGCTCCTGGCTGCTCGGCAGCCTTTTCTCGACATGCGTTTCGCCCCTATCCTTTGACTGTAAGTTTTGCAAAGGCTGGAATGAAGGTGGAGTCCCCCTTTTAATTTCTCAGCATTTCGAATTAACTATGAGTTTTGTGTTTTTCAATGATTGTTAAGGAGTTTGATTTGTGTAAAGACAAATAAAATGCCTTTTACTTTAGACCTGTGCAGCTATGAGGAACTTTTATGGAGCTGCATCTTTAAGGAACAGTAATAAGAAAGTTGGTTGCAAAAAACTATAGGGAAAATTTTAAATGCTCATTTTTTTTCTCATTAAAAAAATATAGTCACAGTTGAGTTTACCATTCTTTGGTTTTACAGCTGTCCCTCGGTATCTCTCTACTCCAGGTTGGTCTCAGGACCCCAGACCCAAATCCTCAGATACTCAAGTCCCTGGTATAATATGGCATGACATTTGACTATAACCTGTGTATCTCCTCTCCTGTACATGAAATTATCTCTGGATAATTGTACTACCTATTACAATGTAAATGATATGTAAATAGCACTTTATACTCCTCTTTAGCCTTGGAGGAATTGTGTTGACTACTTAACTTCTTTTCTTTCTTTCTGAATATTTTCATCTTTTTGATCCTCCATTGATTGAATCCCCAGGTGTTGAACCTGAGAATAGGTACTTTCTCTTAGTTTTTGTTGTTGTTGTTATTACTCTTGTTCTCAAAATGCCTTTTTTATTTAATTTTTTAATTTCAACTTCTCTTCTTTAAAGAATATGGATGTGACCCAAGGAAAACTACTTTTTATTCCCCATTGAACATTGAGCAGATTCTAACTTGGCTATCGTAAGATTTTGTTGTTGTTGTTGTCATATGATTGGTAGCAGAGGCAGAATGCCATCAGGTGACAAAAACAATTTTTGATATTGTATAAACTTGAGTATACAGATGTAATGGGAACAATTTTCATGGCTAAGAATGTAAAATATTAATGGGGAATTTTCTTTGACCCAGAAGTTCCTAATGTGCTTAGGGACCCAGGAATAGTCTGCCGAGTTTAAGCTGAGTGGATGCCTCCAGATGGGACTTCAGGAACACCAGCCTTCGCCCCAAGTCCTTTGATATTTTTTCATATCCGATTTTATATCTAAACACTAATAGCATGGTATCATGTCGATAAATTTTAAATCTAATGTGATTGGGCTCAGTTATTCAGAACTATCCAGAATTCTTTCATTAAATTATTGAACCTACTCTCTTTCAGTAAAATGATCAATTTGTCAGTGCCAGACACTATAGACGAAAGGACAATCAACAAAAAGAAACTCACCCCTTTCACCATCCAGGTACGTCTTTCCACAACTGTTAGCACAGCTTTGTGTTGAGGATGAGTACCAGAGCAACTGAGTGCTCGCACACTAGTGGCAAGCCGAGGCTCTGGGCAATGACTTTTCAAGACCAGTGGAGATCTAAGGAGCTCTGGTAGTACACTCAGCGCTTACCAATGGTGGGCAATGAGAACCCCACCCAGGGGCTCAATCGGAGGCAAAAAGGGCACTCTCTCCTAAAGAGGAAACCCCCAACCCTGTTGCCACCACATTACTTCCAACTCATAGCAATCCTGCATAGGGTTTCCAAGACTATAAAATTTTGTGGGAGCAGAAAGCCTCATTTTTCGCCCAAGGCACATAGAGTGGGTTTGAACAGGCAACCTGTCCACCATTTACCCTGTAGCACCACCAGGGCTCCCCATAAAGATCACAGGCAAAGCAACCCTGTGAGGCAGGTCCACTTTCTAACACGGGGCGGCCCTGAGTTGAAATAGGCCGAGTAGCGCCTAACAGCAGCAGGAGGGATTGCGACTCATATGTTATTACTATAGCGAGGGGAAAAGAAAAGTGGTGGGCAATTAGTAGAGGGGGGATTATGTGTTTGTCTTGGCCATTTGTGAATACAATTTGCATTGGCTGAAGTTTCGATACAAACTTCCTCTAATATCTAACGTCTGAGCTGATGCCAGATACGTAGGATTTTAGCTGAAATGATAAGCCTTTCTAAGAAGTGAAGGGGTGAAAATGGGAAGTGTCCTGGTAGCCTCACAGTGGAATTGGGCACAGCCAGGTGGGGCGTGTGATAAACATAACCTGCTTGTGCCCCTTCAGCTTGGGGATTCGGTGGGACAGTCACCTGCAGCAAGGACCCTCCTTCTGGGTTCTGTTCCAACATTTTAATCTGTTTGTTATCTGCTTGCTCAGAAACTCAATTTTGCCTCTTACGCTATCTGAAAAATAAGATTTTTTGCTTGGATTTAAGCAACCCAATATACTTTTAAAATCCAAGTGGTAGATAGTCAAATTGACAATGATTGTTCTTAGATGGTATTCTTGGTGTTTCTCAAAGGAAAACCCCACCCGGTCCTAGGTCATCCTTACAATCAGTCCTCTGAGCTCACGGTGGCAGGCACGGGGTCAACCCATCTCATCGATGGGCTGCCTCTTTTCACTGGCCCTCTGGTTTACCAAGCATGCTGTCCTTTTCCGGTGACCGGGCCCTCCGGAGAGCAGGACCAAAGTGTGTTTCGAGACAAGCTCCCAGCCGTCCGGCCAAGTCCGACTCAGCACCCACACCTAGGCTTGCCTCTGGCCTTCTGGTCCTGTAAGGCTTTCTCCTGGGGTAGTAGATGGTAGATTTGATCGACTGACTTTGCAGTTACCAACCTTATGCGGTTAGCCACTCTACCAGCAGGGCTCCTTAAAGTATGCTTAAACGGATGTAAATGCACATAATATTAAATTACTCATAATCTTGGCCATAAAAAATAGTGTTTCTTACCACTTCAGCTGCATAGTAGGGTTAAAACTCACTTTGATTCTAATAATTTTCTTCCGAATTCACTGATGACCTGGCTCCTTTATTTTGTTTTTAATTGGTCATTCCAATAAGTTCTATATATCAGATTGACTGATCCTCCTATTCAGAACCACGAACATCATGTAAATCCTAGACTGAAAATGCATTGCTCTGCTCCAGCTTATTCCACCTGGACCTGAGCTACACCATATGCATTACTGTTCAACAGAACAATGGGTCATCTACATCTGCATATGTGTATAAGGCCCTGGGTAACATAAAGGGTTGCTCTTGGCTACGAATTGAAAGATGCCATGGAATGAAAATATGACCATCGGCTTCCAAAAAGACGACAGCCTACAAAACCCTGTTTATAACTGCATTTATCTCTGTGGACTTAAATTCGGGCCTTCCAGCAGCTTTCTCAGCCTCCGTCGTTGTGTGCCAACCTCCCTCTTGCTGTATGTTGCCATTCCCCATTCCCTTCACTCAAGTTAACATGTAGATGAGTTGTTGAGGGGACAAATGATCTGCTCTGTCAACAAACCTTCACCCAATTCACAGTAAAAAGTTTTTTTGTTTTTAAGAAGAAAGCCCTGTGGCACTCAGGTATAGCCTCAGGTTCATGATGTTTCCATGAGCCAGAATTAACTCAAGAGCAACAGGTTTGTTTTTAGAAATGAATTTAAAAATATGTATATATTCAAGCTCCTCAACTATTATGATACCAAATAAAGCGTGCTAGTGAAAAAAAAATAGTCTTTTTTTTTTTTAAACCAGGAACTGAATTTTCACCTCTTTTCATTCCCTTTCTAGAACCTGTGAGCCAAACAGCTATTCTAGTACTCTGTTTTATGGTCTTTATTTACATCAACAATTGCATTATCAATGGTAGCCGGTGACAAGACCATGTCATCCCTCAAAGGCCCCACTTTATTTTTTGGCTAATGGGTATGTTGGATGAGTTAGATGAAACAAATTAAACTCCTTAGCTCCACCCTGACCACGATGACAGTCACCTCTGATGATGGCTTGATTGGGCACCCCTTGTGTAAAGCCAGTGTCTGAGGTACTGGATTGAAACTCTCAGTTATTTGCTACTGCTGTGTCTCAGTGTTAGAAGGCATCGTGGCTGAGTGGGCTGCACACTGAGCTGTTAACCACAGGTTAGCAGTTCAAGCCCACAAGTTGCTCCCGAGGTGAAAGATGGAGCTGTCTGATCCTATAAAGTGCGAGGTCTCAGAACCCTAAAGGGACAATTCTACTCTGTTATAGAGAGTCACTGTGAATTGGAACCAACGAGACGCAGTGAGTTTGTTTTTTGAGCCTGGTCTCTCAATGTTTAAATTTAGTGACAACATTGCCTTAGTGTGGTGAATTTTCCAGTAAGGTAACCCTGATACTCTGGCCAATATGCATCATATTTGCCATCTGTGAAGTCAAAGAACAAAACTTGCATACCTTTTCTGCCTCAGGAAAACTTGAACCTGGCTCTGAACTCTGCCTCAGCCATCGGGTGCCATGTGGTCAACATCGGAGCTGAGGACTTAAAGGAGGGGAAGCCTTACCTGGTCCTGGGTCTCCTGTGGCAAATCATCAAGATTGGATTGTTTGCCGACATTGAACTCAGCAGAAATGAAGGTACTGTTGTCGTTCACGGCATGGCTTTCCTTCATGCCTGCCTCTGGTGCTGTAGGGAGAGGATGTCGGGAATGGTCATACTTATAATTCTCAAGTTTAGAAAATTTTCAAGGAGGGGGGAAATATTCAAAGGTATATTAATCAGCTGTACTAATGTAACAGGTTCTATCCATACTGACCTTCTTTTAAAACAAGGGAGCAAACTCTTCTCCTGCCCCCAATGCACTCATTTATAACACGTGGCTCATTCTAGTTCTCCGGGAACTCCAGCCAGAGAGGCCTGATTGCCTGTAGCCACTTCATGACAAACAAGGCAACTTGTAAGTTGTGTTTTATGAAGTAACCCAGGATTATATGTTGCAGTAATTGCTCCAGGTTAGGAGAACCTGATTTATTTCTGACCAAAACAATAGAAATTCCCATTTATACATTCAAAGTGGGAAACTACAAATGTGGGTGCTAATTTTATTTTTCTGCTCCCACCATGAAAGAATTCTTCAAGACTAACAGCTTCTGTATTCCAAATATCCTTTTCAACAATGGTGACTACATACGTGAGCCTCACTAGACAGAAAGCCCAAGAAGCGGCCTAATGACGACAGAAAGAGACCATGGAGAAGTTCCATGTCAGCAGCCCCAAATGGATGATTGTGGACCATATGTAAAAGCAAATTAAGTTAAAGAACGTCCTAACAAGCCCATGAGAGCCAAACTTTGTCCTTCGGTATAGCCCACCGGGATTTCAAGAAGATTTCCAGAACTTTGAACACATTGAACACGAATGACAGAAGCCCCGAGGAGCCATGGGACAACATCACGAACATCAGACAGGAAGAGAGAAAAAGGCAATTAAAGAGACAAGAAAACAAGAAAGTAGCAAACTGGATTTCAAAAGAGACTTTGAAACTTGCTCTCCATCACAGTGTCTAAAGCCAAAGGAAGGAATTAGGAAGTGAGAGACCTGAACAGAAAAGTTCAAGGGTAACTCTAGAAGACAAGGTGAGGCATTGTAATGAAATGGGCAACGAAGACCTGGAGTTAAAACTCCAGAAAGGAAAAGCACATTCAACATATATCTAGCTGGAAGAACTGAAGAGAAACTTTACACCTTGAGATGCAATATTGAAAGATTCTGATCAAAAATGAATGGCGCAGAAGGAAAAAGTCCAAGCTGCTCTGGAGGCAGTGGAGACAAACAAGGCTCCAGGAGTTGATGGGATACCAATAGAAACGTTTCAACAAGCTGATGAAGCACAAGAAGCACTCACTCATGTACACCCAGAAATTGGGAAACTAGCTACCTGGCCAACCGACTAGAAGAGATCCCTACTTACGCTCATTCCTAAGAAAGGTAAGCCAAGAGGATGCGGAAATTACAGAACAATATCATTAATATTACATGCAAGTAAACTTTTACTGAAGATTATTCAACGCTGGTTGTAGCAGATATTGACAGGGGACTGCTAGAAATCCCAGGTGAATTAAGAAGATTTGGTACAAAGGATATCATTGCTGACATTAGACAGATCGTGACTGACAGCAGAGAATACAGAAAGATGGTTACTTGTATTTTATTGAGTATGCAGAGGCATCTGACAGGGTAGATACTAACTAACTGTGGCTAACGTTGAGAAGAATAAGAATTCCAGAACAGTTCTTTGTGCTCGTGCAGAACCTATGCATGGACCAAGAGACAGTTGTTTGACTAGAACAAGGGAACACTGCATGGTTTAAAATCAGGAAAGATGTGTATCAGGGCAGTATCCCCTCGCCATCTTATTCAATCTGTACCCTGAGCAGATAATCAGAGACGCTGGATTATATGAAGAAGAATGTGGTATAGGGGTTGGAAGGTGGCAAATGACACGACCTTGCTTATTGAAAGTGAGGAGGACTTGAACCACTGGCTGATGACGGTTCAGCATGGACTACAACTCATTGTGGAGAAAAGATGGAAATTCACAAGGATTTTGTCTTCCTTGGATCCACAATCAATGTTCATGGAAGCAGCAGTTAAGAGATCAAAGAACACATTGCATTAGGTAAATCTGCTGCACAAGACCTCTTTCAAGTGTTGAAAAACAAGGATGTTACTTTGTGGACTAAGGCGTGCCTGACCCAAGCCATGGTATTCTCGATTGCTTCCTGTACAAACATGTGAAAGTTGGACATTAAATACGGAAGACTGAAGAAAAATCAGTGCATTTGAACTATCATATTAGCAAAAAATACTGAAAGGGTATAACACAGGCTGCCAAAATAATAAACAAGTCTATCTTGGAAAAGTCTCCTCAGAAACGAAGAGAGAAAGACTTGGTCTCACGTACTTCGGATGCTAACAGGAGGGACCGGCGCCGCAGAAGGACATCATGCGTGATAAAGGGAAGGAGGCGTGAGAAAGAGGAAGGCTCTCAATAAGATGGATGGACAAAGCGTCTGCAAACAAAGGGCTCAAACAGAAGAACAGTCTGAGGGGGTGCAGGACCAGGCAGTGTTTCGTTCTGACTCCACGGCGCCCATCAACAACAATCTACGCACGTGAACGATGGCCATTGAAGAAAGGCGACCGCGGTATCGTCACATATGAATTATGTTGGCAAAGGAAATGGAAAGTAACATGGACTGCAAAAACAAAAATCAAAAAGACCCCAAATCTACCTAGAAGAAATGCAGACAGAATGCTCCTTAGAAGCAAGCAGGCACTGCATTGCCTAACAGCCTTTGGACACTTTATCAAGAGCAATCAGTCCCTGCAAAAGACATCATACTTGTTAATGTAGAAAGTCAGCAAAACAGAAGAACACTAAGAAGACAGAAGGACACAGTGGCTCTGACAATGGGCTCAAGCATAAAGATTGTGAGCGTGGCACCAGACCTGGCAGTGTTTTGTTCTATTGTGCATAGCCTGGCATGAGTCAAGTCTGACTTGACAGCACTTAAGAGAAGCTCCCCGCTCTCTATCCACCTACAGAGAGTGGAATTTTTCTAGGCATGTAGTTGACCTTGCTAAGTAGTATGCAAAACTAATTATTGCCTTTGAGTTCAGGACAAAGGTCACCACTATGGAATCTGTAGCCAAATATTGAATGATATGTATATATATACACACACACACAAACATATTTATACATATATATGTGCATCTTATAGGTATATACACACACACACAAGTCCCAATAACCAATGAAGAGTCCTACAGTACAATTTTAAAATCAATGTATTAAACATAATTTAAAGGAGAGAGAGAGAAGAGGGAAAAAGGCAATAGAGATCTCAGAACCCAGGAGAAAGTCTATTGATTGGTACGTAATGACCTCAGCTAAATTTAAATCTTTAAGGTGAGCAAATAATAATCTTCGAAGGAAGCAGAGCAAAGGGTTTATTACATTTTGAGATACTATAATTCTATATGTGTATAATTATATATAGGGCTTACCACATTTTTGAGATATTATAATTATGCAGGTAAGCATTTGAAATATAAAACACCAAGGAGAATAGACAAGAGGACATTGTCATTATTACCAATTGACCTCATCAAAGTAAAAATAGCCTCTGTTGAAACTGGAGTTGTGAGCCATCTGCCCAGGTTATTTTCATGGCTCACCATTTGTCTGTCATTTTGTTGTAATGTGGTAGCTTGTGTGTTGCTGTGATGCTGGGAGCTATGTTCCCCTTATTTCAGGTACCAGCAGGGTCATCCAAGGTGAATAGGTTTCAATGGAGCTTCCAGACTATGAACAGACTACGATAAAGGGGAGGACTGTCTGCCTCTGAGAGATTCCCCACTGACAATCTTCTGACTAGCAGTGGGATGGTGTCCAATAGACTGACAACCTCATGAAGAGTAGCAGGACACGGTCAGAGATAATACCAGAGGATGAGCAACTCGGGTCAGAAGTCACTCAAAATACAACAAAGGAAGATCTGCCTTCCCCCACTCGAGTACATCATGATGACGGAGAGGGGCTAAGGCCTTCCTGTCCTCACAGGGCACAACTCACGATTACGAGAAACCGCTGCAAACAGCGCTTCCTAATTGGAGTGTGAAATGGATGAAGGATGAATATAGGAAAATTGGGAGTAATCAAAAATGAATTGGAAAGCATAAAAGATTGATGTTGTAGATATTAGTGAACGAAAATGGATTGGTATTAGCCATTTTAAATCAGAGGTTCAAATGGTTTACTATGCAAGAATGACAAATTCAAAAGGAAAGGTGTTGTATTCATTTTCAAAAAGAACTTTTCAAGATTTGAGGTACATGCTGTCTGTGATAATATCTATATGCATATAAGGAAATCCAATTAATACAATTATGATTCACATTTATATACCAACCCCTAATTTTGTGATCGAAAAGTTGAAGAATGATGCCAACTTCATCTACCTGAAATTAATAAAACATGAAATCAAGCTGTATTGATAATTTAGTGGTGATTGGAATACAAAAATTTGAAAGAAAGAGGAGATAGAAATGAAGCTGGAGATCACATGACAAAATTTTATGAGATTAATGACCTTTTCATAGAAAATTCCTTTTTTCAACAACATAAAAAGTAACTGTACACATGGACTTCTCTAGATGGAATACGTGGGAGTAAAAATGACTACATCTGTGGGAAGAGATGATGGAGCAGCTCACTATCAGCAGCCAAAATGAGACCAGAGGTTGACTATGGAACAGACCATCAATTGTTCATATGTAAGTTCAGGTTGGAGTTGAAGAATATTAAAATAAGTCCACAAAAGCCAAAATACAAGTTTGAGCATATTCCACCTGAACATTGAGACAATCTCAGAAATATATTTGAACACTAATGACAGAAGACCTGATAAGCTGTGGGTGTACATCAAGAACACTATTACCCCCCACCCCTCACCCCCAAATTCTATACATATAGAGAACAAGGAATCATTATACAGATAGGAAAGGAAGAAAAGATAAAAACGGATGTCGGAGGAGACTCGGCAATATGTTCTCAGTCATACGGTAGCTAAAGCAAATGGAAGAATGGTGAAGAAAAAGACCTGAACAGAAAATTCCCAAGAAGATAAAGTATTATAATGAAATGTGCACAGACCTGGAGTTAAAAAGGAAAAACATGTTCAGCATATATAAAGCTGAAAAACCTGAAGAAAAAATTCAAGCCTTGGGTTGCAATACTAAAAGATTCTTTAGGCAAAATATTCAATGGTCCAGGAAATATCATATGATGATGGAGGGAGGGAGGGAGAAAGGGATGAATGGATACACAGAGTCACTCTACCAAGTGAAGCAGTCGACTTGCAACCATTTCCAGTGGTGCCATATGATCAAAAACTAATGGCGCTGCAGTAAGAAGTCCATGCTGCGCTGGAGGCATTAGGAAAAAAAACAGGCTCCAGGAGTTGATGGGATATCAATGGAAATGTTTCAACAAGCTGACAAAGCACTGGAAGCACTCCTTCATCTATGCCCAGAAATTTGGAAAATAGCTACCTGGCCAACCAACTGGAAGAGATTCATATTTGTGCTCATTCCAAAGAAAGGTGACCCAAGAGACTACAGAAATTACAGAGCAATATCATTAATATCACATGCAAGTAAACTTTACTGAAGATCACTCAACAATGGGTACAGCAGTACTTTGACAGAGAACTGCCAGAAATTCAACCTGGATTCAGAATAGGACATGGCACAAGGGCTGTCATGTTGACATCAGATGGATCTTAGACTAGGCAAAGGCATTTGACTGTGTGGCTAATAAGTTGTGGATAGCATTAAGAAGAATGAGAATTCCAAAACACTTCATTGTGCTCATGCAGAACCTGAACATGGATCAAGAAGCAGTTGTTTTAACAGCACAAGGGCATACTGCATGGTCTAAAATCAGGACAGATATGTATCAGAGTTGTATCCTTTCGCCATCCTTACTCAATCTGTATGCTGAGCAAATAATCAGAGAAGTTGGATTCTATAAAAAGAATAAAAATAATTGGAGGAAGGCTTACTCACAACTTTTGATAAGCAGTTGGCACAACCTTGCTTGCTGAGGGTGAGGAGGACTTCAAGCACTTGCTGATGGAGATCAAGAACCAACGGCTTTGGTGTGGATTGCAACTCAATAAAGAAAGCAGAAATCCTCACAACTAGAACAATAGATAACATTACAATAAACAGAAAAGATTGAAGTTGTAAAGGATTTAACTTTGCTTAGACCTATAATCAGTGTTCACGGAAGCAGCAGTCAAGAAATGAAATTAACTGGCATTGGACAAATCTGCAGCACAGGACCTCTATAAAGTGCTGAAGAGCGAGCAGCCAATGCACAGAGAGCACCATAGGGCTGGCCCCACCTCGTACAAGACATGACATCCCTCACTGACCCATAGCACTACGGGGGACAACACTGGAGACACAGTGCAGGAATTGCACCTGATCTGGCCCCACCACACTGAGGAAAACACTAAGGGTGTGCAACAGAACAGCAAGGGGAACAGAGCAACGAAGTCCCCAGGGAATACCAAAAATAGACTTTGGGGCCAGGGTGTGACGCCATCAGACTCAGGCGGAAAACACTCCTAAAGGCCAACAAACAAACTTCTAGGCTTTGTTTTTTCCCCCTATTGGTTTTTGTTGTTGTTTTGTTTTCTTTTGTTGCATTGTTTTGCTCTTATTTTTTGTGCATATTATCATCTCTGCAGGTCTAGCTAGATAAGATAGGTGGGATAAACAATCTGGAGGAGAAAACAATGGGACCAATGATTCTGGAGTGATATGGGATAAGGGGAGGCGGGGGAAAAGAAGTGGGTGATAACAAACCCAGGGACAAGGGAACAACAAGTGATCCAAAATCGATGGCGAGGAAGGTGTAGGAGGCCTGGTAGGGCTTGATCAAGGGCAATGTAACCAAGAGGAATTACTGAAATCCAAATGAAAGCTGAGAATGAGAGTAGGACAAGAGGAAAGTGAAAGGAAATAGAGGAAAGAACTAGGAGGCAAAGGGAATTTATAGAGCTCTAAATACAGGCATGTACATATGTAAATGTATATATGATGATGGAGAAATAGGTCTATGTGCATATATTCATAGGCTTATTATTAAGGTGGCAGATGGACATTGGGTCTCTACTCAAGCACTCCCTCAATGCAAGGACACTTTATTCTATTAAACTGGCATTCCATGATGCTCACCAACCGACACGATCACTGAAGTCAAATGGGTGCATAAGCAAAGGCGGTGAATAAAGCTGATGGTGCCCAGCTATCAAAAGATATAGCATCTGAGGTCTTAAAGGCTTGAAGATAAACAAGTGGCCATCTAGCTAAGAAGCAACAAAGCCCACATGGAAGAAGCACACCAGCCTGTGTGATCACGAGGTGTCGAGAGGATCAGGTATCAGGCATCAAAAACATAAAATCATATCTTTGTTAATGAAGGGGAGTGCAGAGTGGAGACCCAAAGCCCGTCTGTAGGCAAGTGGACACCCCATTACAGAAGGGTCGCGGGGAGGAAACAAGCCAGTCAGGGTGCAGTATAGCACCGATAAAACATACTTTTCTGTAGTTCTTTAATGCTTCCTCCACTATCATGATCTCAATTTTACCTTACAAATCCGCTAGACCAGAAGATGTCCACTGGTACAGATAAGAGCTGGAAACACAGGGAATCCAGGACAGATAAACCCCTCAGGACCAATAATGAGAGGAGGGATACCAGGAGGGGAAGGGGAAGGTCGGGGAGAAAGGGGGAACCTATCACAAAGATCTACCTATAACCCCCTCCCTGGGGGACAGACAACAGAAAAGTGGGCAAAGGGAGACATCAGTCAATGTAAGACATGACAAAATAATTATAATTTATAAATTATCAAGGGTTCATGAGGAGGGAGGGTGGGGGGAAAATGAGGAGCTGATACCAAGGGCTCAAGTAGAAAGAAAATGTTTTGAGAATGAAGATGGCAACAAATGTAGAAATGTGCTTGGCACAATGGATGGATGGGTGGATTGTGATGCGTTGTACGAGCCCCCAATAAAATGATTTTTTTTTAAGTGCTGACGACCAAGGATATCACTGTGAAATCTAAGGTACATCTGACCCAGAACATGGTATTTCTAACCCTTTATATGCACGGGAAAGGTGGACATTGAATAAGGAAGACTGTATGGTAATCGGTGGCAAAGAATATTGAAAGTAGCATGGACTGCCGGAAGAATAAACACATCTGTTTTGGGAGAAGTACAACCAGAAGGCTCCTTACTGGCTAGGATTGCGACATTTTGTCTCAAATTCTTTGGCCATGTTATTAGGAAAGAACTGTCCCTGGAAAATGGGAGCAATTAATCATTTATAATATCTTACACCTCCCATGGGGAATATTTTCCCTGGGTGACACGGCAATTTATAATATCTTACACCTTCCATGGGGAATATTTTCCCTGGGTGACACGGCATAGGCTAGAATGGAAACTTGGTGGTTTGAGCCTCTCTGAGGGGCCTTGAAAGAAAGGGCTGGGTGATGTAAGAGTACTTCTAAATATTCAGTCAACTGAAACCCCCATGGAGCCCAGCTCTCCGAGGGTGCATATGGGGTCCCTAGGATTCAGCATCTCCTAGGTGAGTTTTTTGTTGTGTGTGTGTATTTTAGGGACTACTAATAAACTCACCGCTTTCCAGTCAATCCTAACGCACAATGACCCTAGTTGCCTCACAGAGCTTCCTAAGGCATCTTTACAGAAGGTAACCCATCTTCCCCTGCAGAGCAGTTGGTTGGTTTGAAGCGAACAGCCTAGCACTTGGTCATTGTGTCACCAGCGCTCCTGGGAGTCCTAGCAGACCGTTTAATTCATAGCCAAGGCTAGAAGGACGTTTCCCAGAGGGAGGTGGTGTCGCCATCTTCAGCTTTCCCACCGAGTTCCGTGAAGCTGTAATTACTCCTGGACTCCCTTTGAATTCATGTGGATTCTGCTTTTGTGCTTCTCAGTTCTGATTGCTCTTCTGAGAGAAGGGGAGAGCCTGGAAGACCTGATGAAGCTCTCCCCCGAGGAGCTCCTGCTGAGATGGGCCAACTACCACTTGGAAAATGCCGGCTGCAACAAAATCAACAACTTCAGTACTGACATCAAGGTAGGAGGCGTGGACGGGGGACATGCAGCTGATGGTGGCCTTGAAATGGGAGTCCGGGCATGACTGGCCAAAAGACTAGTGTGCTGTGCTGTTTGGGAGATGCGCCTTATTCTAATCGGTCTGTAGCCTGAGTGTGAGGCAGCCACCCTCACCTGGTCAAAGTCACTGCCTAGCAGTGACTAGGCAGCGGCAAAGGAAGATCAGCCTACCTTCGAGTAGCAATATCAGGAAATGGAAGGACAATATCAGGAAATGGAAGGACAAGAGCAAGCATAAAAAAGGGCAGAAGATAAGACCCTGCTGGCTCCAGGAAAAGGGAGTCCTGGCGGCCCTGTGAACATTGTAATGCTTACCGAATGGTTGGTGGTTCAAACCCACCAGCCACTCCATAGGAGAAAGATGAAGCTGCCTGCTCCCATAAAGAATTACAGGCCTCAAAAACTCTATATAGGGTCATCACGAGTCAGAATTTATTCAAAACAGTAAAAAGAGCAGTGGTTACCAGGGATGAAGTGGGGCAGGGACTGAGAAATAAATGGAGTACAGAGACTGGGTTCCTTTGTTATAATTGATGAACCAATACATTGTTATTAACTAAAGTCCCCAATTTACATAAGAGTTTACTGTGTTTCATATAGCTTAGGGGTTTTAGCAAATGTATGTTGCCATGTATCTACTGTCAGAGCAGTGTGTCGAATACCACACTAGCCTAACCCTAAACCCACTGCCATCAAGTCAATTCCAGTCCACAGCCACCCTTTTGAGAGTAGAAATACCCAGCTGGGTTTCCAAGGCTGTAAATCTCTAGGGGAGTAAATAGCCTCATCTTTCTCCCTAGTAGCAAGTGGTGGATTTGAAGTACTGACCTTCTGGTTAGCAGCCCAACTTTAACCCACTCTGCCACCATGTTAAATATAGAGGAAATTGTGAGGAGGGAGAAGAGAGTATAGAAGAACTCTGTATACTTTTTACCTATATATTTTTTGTAAAATCCAACTGCTCTTTTTTTTTTTAAAGACAATATATATTTTTAACACCAGTGCAAAGCAGGGACAAAGCAGCAATGATGATTCTGGAACCCCTGTGCAATGAGCATGTGCAAAGCACCCAGACAACACCGCAGAGATCTGGGAGGGGAGGGGAGGGGAAGGTTGGAGGAGACCTGCTCGGTGGTTGTCAAGTCTATGAAGTTGCATGGTAAGGTGAGAGGAGAAGGCTGTGTGCATTCACAACAGGTGGATCAAAATAGAAAGCATCTATCTTGGGAACAGGAAGGAAGGTCAAGAAGCATTTCCTAACAGCACAGGAGGTGCAAGAAAAGTTTTTCATTGTTCTCTTTCCTAAAAATGAAGGAAATGTTTTCTAAAGCGTAATAGGAGTCAGAAGCAAGGTACATGAGCCTCCCCGGCTGGACCAGGCTGCTGTTCTGTGAAGAACATCGGCACCCTGCCAAGCCAGGCAGACCCAGTGGCTTTTAAAACTTGGGATTCCCCAGGCACAGTGTAAACTGAGAGTGTAGCTTCTAGACGGAAGGCCCTCTTCCCTTAAGGCCAGAGTTACGTAACAATCCCAGAGTTACTCAGCTACCAGTTTTCGGTGGTTAGGTACATTTTCTAATCCCTCCGCCAAGTTCAGGCTTAACAGGTGCTGGACATACTCATCTCCAATCATTTGTAAACCCAGTTTAAACCCAGTTCAAATTCAGTTGTAAACCCTTTGTTCCATAATTAGGCTGCTTGACCTGTGTCGTAAGCATACCTGACTGCCGGTCACTGAGAGGCTGCCTACTGTTTGAATAGTCATCATCGTTTGGACTTGGGAAAGCATCCTGCCTGGGTTAGGAACCGGCCAGCTGAGCACTTACCAGTCGGGGTTCTGTGCTCCCAGCACCTTGGGAACAACACACAACAGCCAGCTACCCTCGAGTTGATTCTGACTTGCGTCACCCCAGTGGGTCAGAGCAGAACTATGCACCACAGAAGCCGGATGCACGCACAGCATCCTGGGAGGGGCCCTTAAACACAGCGTCTGTAGCGGTGGGAAGAGTGCCTGTAAATTGACAGCAGGAAGGAGAACATTGTGCCAAGAGAGGAGAGAAGGGGCCAGCTGAAATGAGGTGACTCTTGGAGGAAAGGATGTGGTAGGCAGATTGTATTTGTGCTTACTACCTGCATGGAACTTCCATGGAGTTGAAAATGAGGATGCCAGCAACTACAAGGGAGGGGAGTGGCTGGGAAGGGAGAGCCGTGGAATTGGGTTTTCCCAGAAGCAGTTTCAGTGGCGCATGCTCTCTCCCCTTGGCTCTTTGATGGGCGGTCAGTGCTCTATGTCCCTGGTTTGATACAAAAACCAATCGATCACGGATGTTTCCACCGTCAAGACGCCTTTAAATGATTTCAATAAATTACCTGAAATCTTGTATGGTTTCATTGCGGGACGATACATTTATAGTTCTGCGACGATGATTCTGAGAATTCTCTGTCTTACTTCCAGAATCTCAGAGAACTTAGAAATTCAATACCTACATTCAGTCTTCTCTGACTAAATTGAGGCTTTTTCCTAGTCTCTGTATAGACATTAAATGCACTCATCATTTTAATATCTTTCCTTTTATATGAAGATTACCTGTTAATGCTTCAACCCTATATCTTGAAAATCTTTATTTTTCTTTTACAGATAAATGCATTTTAAAACTCTGCCTTAAACTTCTGCTTTCTTTTTCTATCACTTTTTCCCTTTCTTTCTTATTAACCCTTAGCTGACTGACTTCCACAGCTGTATAAAGATTTTTTTTTCTGTATACAATTTAATACATGCAAATTAATTGTTCTCTTCCCTATCTGCGTCTTTGGGCTTCCTTTCGTGTATATCCTGTATTTTTAATTGTTTCCTTTTAAAATGAGAACCTACTACGTTATGCAAACAGACCAATGGAAAATGCAAATTAGTGAGCCAGCTCTGTTAATTAAGTGACATTCAAGAATGATAGTCAAGGGAGAAATGAAGGATGTTGGCTTTGGGGAAACTACTGTCATGCTAAGTATGTAATTAGCTGCACCGTTTTGAAAGTGTAATTTCTTAATTTCTCACAGGACTCAAAAGCTTATTACCACCTGCTTGAACAGGTGGCTCCGAAAGGCAATGAAGAAGGTATTCCTGCTGTTGTCATCGACATGTCAGGACTCAGGGTGAGCACTTTCCCAGGTTGCATTTAGATCACCGATGCTGCCTTCCATAGTTAAGCATTCCTTCCCTCTGCATGACTTGGACTGGGCAGGCCCATGAGGGGCTATACCTGTTAACCCCCTCAGTTGGGGATAGCAGTGTTGCAGTATTGAATCTGGGGGTGGGAGGGGAAACCATATGGAAAGGAAGAAACTCACTTCAAATGAATGCCATCCACCATGCTAGACGTTTCTCCATCTATCCCATATTTTAATAATCTCCATGGCACCAATTGAGGAACCTTGGTAGTGTGGTGATTACGAGTTGGCTGCTCACCCAAAGATCGGCAGTTCAAAGTCCCAGGTTCTCCTTGGGAGAAAGATGGGGCTTTCTACTCCCATAATGCCCAGGGGCAGCTCTAGCCTAGCCTATAGGGCCGCTATGAGTCAGCATGGACTGAGTGGCAGTGAGGTGAGTTTTTGGCATAGCACCATGACGAGCCCTGGCTGGTGCAAATGGCTTGTGATTAGCTGCTAACCTAAAGGTTGGAGGTTCAAACACACCCTATTGCTCCTGGTAATCTGCTTCCAAAATCAATTACAATCAAGAAAACCATGGTGTGTGTGTAGGGAGGGTGGGGGGTGGGCCAAGAGTCAGAATCAACTTGATGCAAAAGATTATTTTTGATTTGTTGCAGTACAGCATCAAGAAATACTATTGTTTCCATTTTGAGGAACAGCATCCTATCTCTGGAAAGAGGATATTTAGATAAATAAATAAATTCTCATTTCAGAGGGGAGTGGGGAAACTGGCCCAGCAGGCCTCCTACTGCTCATCTACCCAAGCTCACGTGATGGGGAACTGTCAGGGTCAAGGCTGGCACTCTCCCAGATAGAGCAGTCTGCATCTTCATCTCTTGTTGCTGCATCCCTTCTCTGGGCCAAGTACTATGCTAGACCCACACTGGCTCTAACCTTTGTAGACATCACTAAGGAGGTACTTTTTTTTTTTGTAGTTAGTTCAAGGATTGTTTGTTGGCCTTTAGGAGTGTTTTCCAGTCCAGTCTGTGGGCCACTACACCCTGGCCCCAAATTCCACCTTCAGCATTCCCTGGGGACCTCACAGCTCCGTTCCCTTGCTGTTCTGTTGCACCCCCTTAGTGCTTTGCCTCCGTGTGGCGGGATCAGATCGGGCGCAATTCCCACACTGTGTCTCCAGTGCCTTTGATCTCCTATCACTTAAAAGTGATGCAGGCCCCAGCTCATGGCCATGACCCTTACATCAGATAGGGCTGTGACCTCAGTCAGGGTGATGCATCCCATCTTAGTGCCTTTTCCACTGATTGGCTGACCACACCAGGTTTGATCATGGGGATGACTGCATCATCGCCTAACTGCTAAGTTATATAATCAGCCACATATTCTGGGGAGACACTCTGTCTTTTAGGGAATAGTGGCTACTTCTCCTTTTAGAAGTACCAGTGAGCAAGGCCATGCCCACCTGGCATAGTGGAAAGTCACCTTTCCAGCCAGGAGCAGACAGCCTGACAGAGGATGAGGCCAGCAACACCCAGGGGTGAATACCCTCTTCATCTAACATTCCCATCATGCCACAG